GCTACTTGGGAGGCTGAGGCAGGAGACTCGCTTGAGCCCAGGAGTTGGAGGTTGCTGTGAGCTGTGATGCCATAGCATTCTACCCAGGGGGACAGCTTGAGGCTCTGTCTCAAAAAAAAAAAAAAACAAGATTAGTGATGGTTTAATGGTTTAAGATGGACATTATTTATTGTGTTTTAAAGAAGTATTTTTCTAGTTTACCAACATTCTTATCAGGACTTATATTCAAACTTGGTATTAAATCTTTTCTGGCATTTAAAATAGGAAAGAAGCAAGTTCTATTTCATGTTTATTAAATTCAAGATGACCCATTAAACATTTAAGAGTGGGGCAGTGCCTATGGCTCAAAGGAGTAGTGTGCTGGCCCCATATGCCAGAGGTGGTGGGTTCAAACCCAACCCTGGCCAAAAACTGCAAAAAAAAAAAAAAACATTTAAGAGTGGAGATGTCAAAACAACAACAACAACAAAAAGAGTGGAGACTGTCTGTCTAGAATTAAAGTATGGGTGGGTGGTTTACACCTATAATCCCAGCAGTTTGGGAAGCTGAGGTGGGAGGATCACTTGAGGTCAGGAGTTCAAGATCAACCTGGGCAATGTAGCAAGACCTCATCTCTGCAAAAAAATTTTTAAAAATTAGCTGGGTGCGATAGTGTGCACTAGTAGTCCCAGCTACTTGGGAGGCCAACGCAGGAGAATTGCTTGAGCCCAGGAGTTCAAGGCTACAGTGAACTATGATGAAACTACCGCATTCCAGCTTGAGCAACAGTGTGAGACCCTGTCTCAATTTTTTTTCTAATAGAGACAGAATCTCACTTTATCCCCCTCAGTATAGTGCTATGGTGTCATAGCTCACAGCAACCTCAAATTCCTGGGCTTAAGCAATTCTCTTGCCTCAGCCTCCCAAGTAGCTGGACTACAGGCACCTGCCATAAAGCTTGGCTATTTTTTTGTTTGTTTGTTTAGCAGGCCCCGGCTGGGTTTGAGCCCTCCAGCCCCAGAACATGTGACTGGCACCCTAACCACTGAGCTACAGGCATCCCCATGAGACCCTGTCTCAGAAAAAAAAAAAAAAGATTGGAATTAAGTATATGAACCTGTAAATCAGGAGGAGGAGAAGGATTTTAACCAAAGAGTCATCAGCATATAGATAGCTATGAAATTATGGGTCTAAGTAAAATTACCTATAGATGAGAGGCAGGAGGTAAAGTATAGATGGAGAAGAAAAGGAGAACAGGGCTTGGCGCCTGTGGCTCAAGTGGCTAAGGCGCCAGCCACGTACACCCAAGGTGGTGGGTTCGAATCCAGCCCGGGCTTGCCAAACAACAATGACGGCTGCAACCAAAAAATAGCCGGGTGTTGTGGCAGGCGCCTGTGGTCCCAGCTACTTGGGAGGC